AGAAAGAAAGAAAGAAAGAAAGAAAGAAAGAAAGAAAGAAAGAAAGAGGGAGGGAGGGAGGGAGGGAGGGAGGAAGGAAGGAAGGAAGGAAGAAGGAAGGAAAGAAGGAAGGAAGGAAGGAAGGAAGGAAGGAAGGAAGGAAGGAAGGAAGGAAGGAAGGAAGGTTAATACAAACTGAGGAGCAAGTGGGATCAACCATCATTGTTGCATCTTTTGTGAACATTACCAAAACTAAGCCCTCCACCCACTCAAGTCTTCTTCATTTTAGCTTTTTGTGATTCTGTTCTGACCAAGGCTTCGGAGTCCATAATTAAGCACATGCTTAGTTAAAACAACTCTGGTTTTATTTCAACACTGGGGATTACGTTCATTCCCAGCCTGTAATGAGTCCCAAACAGTCCCTCGAGAGAAGCACGCACCTTTCTCTCTTTTGAATTGCTGCCAAAAACTAAAGTGCCAAATGAACTATAAAAAAACCAACTGAAATATAAAGTCCACACAGAGCTTCAAGGTTTAATCCAAACTGAGCAAATGACTTTGCTTCCTGCAAAGGTTTCTTCACCTTATGAGAGGGGCAGTCACCTCCCAGTCTTACCCCTTTTGTCTCAGCTGTTCTTGCCTTCTGCGCACACATGTACTGGGAACAGGCTCCCCTTGTTCCTCTGCCTCGCTGCTGCCAGACTCCGGAGGCTCCGGAGTCAGTACCCCATTCCCAGATGGTCTTGGCCCATCTCTGCATCAGACCCTCGTCCGAGTCCTCTCCAGACTCCTGGACTGGTCCCCACTCTTCCCCACTGTCCGATTCCACTGCGGTCTGCACAGACTGCCGGCGAACCACAACAGATTCTTCTGCCTGTGTCTATCAGGGTATGTTCAAAACACAGGACCATGCCTGGTATCAGGTGGATGTAAGATCTGACATTGGGGATCTCCAGTGTCCTCCATGCTGCAGAAAGAAAAGCTGTGGCTTTTGGATAAGATCATTTAAAGGGGTCCTTGGTGCCCTCTGAGCTTTGTTGTTTTATTTGCAGACATTTCATTACCCAGATTGTTGGAGGCAATAGGCTGACTCTGTAAACTGCTTAGAGAGGACTGTAAACGCACTGTGAAGTGGTATATAAGTCTATTGCTATTGTGTTGTGGTTTGCCGGCAGCAGGTGCGGACGGCTGAGGCCTCGGAGAGTGAGGACTCAGATGAGGGGCCTGCGTGTGATGCAGGGATGGGGCCAGGATGATCAGGGAGTGGGGTGCTGCCTTTGGAGATTGTGGAGGGTGGCAGCAGTGATGAAAAAATCCCTGATGAGCCTGTGCCAAGTGCACATGCGCACAGGGCTGCTCAAAGGAAAGAGCAGCTGCAGCAGCATGGGTGACTCAGGAGTAAGGCTGCAAGGTAATGGCCCCTCCCTTAGGAGATAAAAGCCAGCTGAGAAACCAGAGTTCTTTGCAAGAAGCAAAGAAGTTTTTGCACTCAAGCCTTGTGGACGTTCGGACTATCTTAGTTCGTGTTTGGAGACTCTTTGTGTTTGAAATATTTCTTGGCAACTTTATTTAGTGTTCTTGGTAGCCTTGCACAACCTTGGCAAGGCTCGTTCTAGTCAGAGACAATTAGTTTTAATAGCCTTTTAACCGGGAAGGAACAGAATTCGTAAAGAATCATTAAAAGGTTTTGCTGTTACCTCCGTTTGGTGTTTGTTTCCTTGGAACAAGGTTTGGGTCAGAACCTATTGCTACCCAACCTAGACAACTGTTCTGACCCAACCAGGTTCCCAAAGAGCAAACACAGCAGCCCCCACCTTTTAAAGTTTAATAACAAATTCTGTTCTGAAGGCTGCTTTCCACTAATTAGCTCCGACAAGAAAGAGCCTTGCCAAGTTGTTTGTCAAGGCTGCCAAAACCCCAGAGATAAGCACTAATTTACAAAATTCTCCAAACACAAACTAAGATGTCCACCAGTTGAATTTAAGAGCTTCTTTGCTCTCTGCAAAGAACACTTTTTCAAACTTGGCTTTTATCCTCTTGAGGGAGGGGCCATTACCTTGCAGCCTTACTCCCGAGTCGCCTGTGCTGCTGTAATTGTTCTTTCCCCTGAGTAATCCTTCTGCACATGCACTTCGCATAGGCTCCTCGGGAACCTCCTCATCATTGCTGCCAGCCCCCACAATCTCTCCACTCCCTGATGGTCCTAGCCTCTCATCAGAGTCATCGCTCTCCTCAGCCATCTGCACCTGCTGCTGGCTAACCACAACAATAACACCCTCAGTGCCAGCAAGGGGTGAGGTTTGGTCTCACTCTTCACTGGAACGGATAATGTTACCTAGTTTGGAAAATGAAACGTCTGCAAGAAAACAATCAAGTTCAGAGAACACCAAGGACCCCTCATTTCAATAACCCCTCACAATTATTTTTGTGATGGGGCACCATCAAGTCTACTGTCTATGGAGCTCCTCAACCATCCAGGTCCTGGCTGCCCCAAAGGTGCTTTTTCAAGAGGCAATTGGACTTTCTGGTTTTTCTTTGAAGATGCTTCGCTTCTCAACCAAGAAGCTTCTTCAGCTCTGACTGGATGGTGGGGAAATGGAAGGATTTGTACTCCTCACAGACAGATGTTCATTTGCATTCTTTTTTGCATTCACCACCAGATTGATTGATGGGTTAGATAGATAGAGATAAAACTTCTTCAGTTCTGACTCAGTGGTAGAGAATGGCAGGATTTGGAAGGAATGGGATGGAAAATAGAAAGATAGAACAGAATAGATAGAAGATGGATGGATGGATGGGTAGATAGATAGATGATAGATAGATGGATAGATAGATAGATAGATAGATAGATAGATAGATAGATAGATAGATAGATAGATA